GATATTTTTACTAACACTGACTTTTGATGATTATTTTTGCTCGCCGATACGGCGAGAGATACGGAATTGAACCGATATGGTTCAATTCCGTATTGATTTTATCACGGGAGAATTAGATATTTTTTTATGTAGAACGAAATCTTAAATAAATATTTTCGCTAATATTAAATTAATATAATAAGTGAGTCAGTAGTTTATCTTGACCGTGTGGTCCCAGTATAGAATAGGCCACCCCTTCCATTCCCGTGGCTGTCGTAAGAGCCGACTAAGAGAAGGCGAGGGATGGGCAGCAGCGTTCCTCTCACATTTGGAGTCCACGCTCGCACAAGTTTTACACTGTCATATATGCATTTATATATAGAGCAACTATTATAATTATTAATTTTTTATGTCGCTACTTATTTTTTGCAAAATTTGTGGAGCAAAATAAATCTTATTAAAGAGAGAAATTACGTCGACATTAACAATTAGTCCTCGTGACGTTCAACTTGCCAAAAGTACGTGCTGTGTCACGGAATAATGATCAAGCTTGCATTTTTTCTGCCACCACTGGCACCAGTAATGGGACAAGTCGTGCCGCGCCAAATATCAGCGGAGCATCGTGAGACCACTATAAAGATGATTAATTTTAAGACCTCAACGAATGACGTGCGCAAATATCAACATTGCTTAACATCAACGCGAAAAGTTAAACACAATTGTATCTGCTTACTTACAGATACACTCAGCTTATCATTAGAGGGGGTTTTGCCAGTAGTGTCCAAGCTTTGCAGAAGGATTGGCAACCGAATTCAGGCTTTAGAGATTTTTTTTATACAACTTAGAATGGCAAACAAACTGACGGCCCACCTGATAGAAAGTGGTAACCGTCGCCTATACATATAAGTAGTACCATGGATATAACAGAGTATACTGTTTCGCCCATGATAACCCCCATGCGTTGCCATTCTTGAGGACTCAGGTGTTATTCCTCTGTACCCTGTAAATTCACGCCATCCCATCCTTTAAACCGAAACACAGTTATGCAAATACAACTGCTTTACGGTAGAAACACGAATGGGACAGAGCAACCAAACCCAAGCAAACTACTTTTGTACAAAGTCTCCCAATAGTAGAATTTTCTGGTGACTTTTTAAATACCAGCTATTTAACTTTTGTATAAACTTATTTTATGGTAATGTTTTGAAAGAGCAAACTCATCTTTGGCTGATTGATTTTGAGATAAATAGACCGTTATATTTGATGACACAGTTACGTATTGGAATATACTGTTGAAATGTTGCGAAATATTGATCTAAATGTTATGCAATGACATCCTCTATCAAGGTTTATGATATTTTAGAACACGTGTCGTATTAGAAAATTTACATAACGTGTTCGAATTATTTAAATACAAACTGCTTAGCTATAATGTGAGAGGACAGATTTGATTTTTAGTTTTGTAGTGGAAAAATTCAAAAAATATTTATCCGATTTTAAAAATTCTTTCACCTGTAGAAAGCTATATTATCAGCAAGTAATGGCCGCCGTATTTTATTTAAAAATTAACTGTGCGAAATCAGAACTATATCAAGATTGATTATATTGTTATTTGCGTAAATGTTTAAAAGCTTTTTTGTATATATGTTAGTAAAAAATATAACATAAATTATAAAAAAAATATCTTTTATTGTAATTATATATTTGAAATTAAATATGTAAATATAAATATAAAAGAATTTAATTTAAATCTCAAGAAAGTTTTTATGCAACTTAGAATGGCAAACAAGCTCACGGCCCACCTGATGATAAGTGGTAATCGTTGACTATAGACATGAGCAGTACCATGGACATAACAGAGTATACTATTTCGCCCATGATACTCCCCATGCGTTGCCATTCCTAAGGACTCAGGTGTTATTCCTCTGGACTCTGTAAATTCACTGCTATATCTCACTCTTTAACCGAAACACAGCCATGCAAACACAACTGCTTCATAGTAGAAACACGAATGGGACAGAGGTGCTCAAGCAAATGACTTTTGTTTAAAGTCTCCTTCTGGTAAAGTTGTAAAACCTTTTACTCGTAATTAGAGTGTTGATATTATAAATGGTTTTTATAAGCATTTTTATAGATATTTTTATCTTTTCTTCATCAAGTTTTCTTTTTTTCTTTTTTTTTATGATGTTGTTTTCATATATTATATTACCAAGGTGGTATACAAGAATACCGTTCGTCTATTGATAAACCGTCACTGGAGCCCATGGATACATGCAATACTAGGGGTGTCACGTGCACGTAGTTGACTCTGAAGAAACCTTAGTGCATCCTGTTTGAAGAACCTTATACTGTAGGCTCTAGCGAAAACCTTAGCAGGCAACTAATTATATATGTTCATGATATCTTGGGGATGAAAAATAGTAATGACATATTAAAAGACACGTTTTGCCGTAGGTATATAAATGTTTTAACACACTTAATTTTAAGTGTTGTTAAAAAACTGCAACAATAATCCGTTTTAATAAATCTTAACAAAAATGTAAATAAAAGAGTAACTGGCACGACTAGAAGATAGTCTGCTGATGTTCAATACTATGAGTAGTGCAAATAGAAAATGAATGAAGGAATGATTGAATTATTTTAAAGTTTGATCACTAATCGATTGACAGTTTCGATTTATTTGTAATTTTATTTAGAGAGTGTTTTTGTGGTAGTTTTAACAAAACTTGCTTACTTTATTATTGTTCTATTGAAATAGATTTCACTATGAATTAATTCAGTGCAGACACATAGCTGTAGGATAACAAATAAAACACATTGTTATGTACGCTAACGGTGACCGACGTAACGGTATTGAGTCGCGTGCCAACCGCACATAGACTGTAGGACCTACTCTATACGTATTTATAGATTTAAGCGGTGTGCCAAGACCCTTTATCTACAAAATCCACTAAATACTAAGTTTTATATATTTATTTTTTAATATTGAATCTTACTATATTGTCTAGTTGTCTTAATGGATGCAGGTGCCTCAGGACAGTTTTTTTTTTACAACACAGGGGGCAAACGAGCATGCGGCTCACCTGATGGTAAGTGATTACCGCCGCCCATGGTCACCTATAACACCAACGGCATTGCAAGTGTTCCTTTTCGCAGTCTATGATGGAGCCCTATGTTCTGCAGTCGATATTTTTTATGGGTGAAAATGCATAGTAACCAGCCTGTCCTATCGGTATACACTGGCGCTTTACCAGTGAAAGATGATAGGTGAGGATAAAAAGGTAGGTCAGTTAGCCCATTTTGACGAATCTAATGATCAATTAGTCACGATATTTTAAATAATTATATACCGCGTCAAGAGATCATTGTGATGATTATAGTATCCCCGATATCAATAAAAAAAAATATCTCTCATGTGCAAACATAATCTAATTTTACGATAATCATCATAACACCCGTTAACTATCCACTGCAGAGGGAGGAAGGGATTGTTAGTAATGGGGAGATTAGTCCCCATTGCTATCAATATACCCAACCAGGTCGACCTCCTCGCGGTTCCCCCTGGAAACTATCATGGTTAATTCCTGATGAATTCATCATGATGGGCTAACTGGCCTGTTTTCATTCTCATCGATTACCCTTCACTGGTGCTCCGCCAGCGTATCCCGTTAGCGCAGGCGGGGTTACTATACCATTTTCACCCATAAAAAAAAACTATTTTGAAGTAGTTATATATATATATATATACTATATGTGTATCATCAGGATATATACGCAGTTGTAAGATATAACTAGGAAGTTATCTGCCACGCGGTTAACAAGGTCGTCGAACTTTACGCATTGTTTTATTGGTTAGAATAACATTTTATGTCCCATCAGCAACTCTTGTACACATCAAGAATTCCATAGTCTTTGGTGGGCACGTGCGTTGACCATAACTGTCAATCACACGCGTGTTTCAACTTCCTGCCACATTAAAATGCATCATAATGTTCACTAGTATGACGACAGATTTACGTAACCGTTACGTGGAGCCATGGATTTGGATAGTTAATAGATGCAATATGGCTGTTGCAACGGGACTTACTTTTGGGGTTCAATCGCCGAGTGTGTGTTAGTTTATTGCCTACAAGACTTGGAACACTGGAATAGTAATTGACGAGAATGTTGTAAAGGAAATGAAATATCCGCCATGTTGTACACGTCGCTGTGTTGGATGCATTATAAAATTTATTAGTTTTTATTTTAGACTAGTTAAGTCGTGTATACTTTTTATATAATATTTTTATTCTAGAAAAGTTAAAGATAGCTGGAGTTAAGCTGCAGATTAGCGTTGTGATGTGTAAACTAAAGCTGAGTTTAAACTCTTTTTTCTGTGCTTTGTTGTAATTATTTACCAAGAAAATTATTTTAGAACTGACGAATGGCAACTAAATGTATTTTATTTTGCTAATGATACACTTTTATTACAATTACACTATAATGTATTAGGTTCAGAACCAGAAATTAATATTTCAGTTTGATGGACCATCCTTCATATACATAATGACTAAGTATTATATATTATTCTCATTTTCATTGTATAATATTGTATATTTTATATATGTGTAAGTATATTTGTTATTCATATATATTTATTCGTTTATATATGTAATTTTAGTATGTATGTATATCAATAATTAGTAGTACCGCATTCGAGTATTCTGACACTTCCCTATGTTTGACTGGGAGAGAATGCTTAAGTCATAGCATTAAGTCCGCCATGCACACATGTATGTACTAATGAATTAATAAAATAAATGGACAATTGTGTAGTGGTCTAAACTATGCTTGTCAGATTTGACGTCTTTCAAAAAAAACAAGTAAGTTTAGTTAAATAAACCTATGGCCCACTACACGTTTTGGCATACTGTAAGTGTGGTGAGTAATTTATAAATAAATAAATAAAAGTTTGTAAAATTACAAACACTTTATTTAAGAGGCATTAAACAATTTATATAGAAAATAAGATGTTACTTAGCTATATTAATCAGTTTTATCACAAGTCACTTCTGGTAATGGACTATTAACACAATACAAGAAGATTGTCAAATATCATCGTTTACCGAATACATTTATTATGTTCTCCTTCCATTCATAATTTTTGCTTCTAATATCCTTCGATTCATGGGTTGTAATGCCTTTTATTGCATTATTGATATGAAAACAGAATAGCGCCAACATCCAGCCAAGAAGACATACGTTCAGAAATAAAAAGAACACATAAAGATCTCGATTGCTCATTGGCTCCGGAATTAGGAATCGTAATAAAGGATTGATTATTCGAAAGAAAGATATTATGAAAGCATAATTCTCAAATTTTGAAGAGATATAGAAGTAATTATAGTAAGAAGAATATACCAAGGATATTACGATGTAAATTAAGAACAGAAGATAGTAACGTCGATTATGAAGTCCGATGCAACTTGAAAAGAAGAAGCAGTGGTGATCTCTTTTTAGAATACAAATATTGCAAGATCTACAATGCCAGGTGCTTGGTGAGCGATCTCTCTTGCAGACTTCACAGAAGATTCCATTTTTGAGATCGCCTTTTGAAGAATTGTCCGTAACAATGGTCATAATCATGTTTCCAATTACATTTATAAAACAGAATGTCGACAGTATTATATGTAATGCATGTTTTACAATTCCTATATCGAACATTCTTACAAGATTCGATCTAACTATTGTCATTTCAAATATGAAGTAACCAGGTATCAGCGCAAACAATATAATGAAGCACTGCAATTTTTCGTATATGTAAATTAGTTCCTTTAACAGGTTTTTTATGGAGCGATTCATTTGTAAATGTAATAATAGATGGAGAAGAAAACCGTTATTTTACGTATTAAACTGTCTTAAAGGTACTGATTGACAATTAGAGCAAGACAGTAAGGAAATATCAAATGTCTTAAAATTCATAAATCATAGATTAGGGAGAGTATCTAGTTATCCTCGATCTATGTGTGATTTACTAAATAATTATGAAACTAATGTCAAAGATAAAGAAAGTATTCTTAGATACCTATTATTCTTTATCTATATATACTTTAGATACATACTTGTATATAGAAATTACGCGAGAAGTTTTTAATATTATGTGTGTTTTCTACTACTATTATTATCAACATTTTAGTCGTTAACTGTCCACTGCTAAACATTGGTCTTCTTTAACTTTCTTTAACTATATAGTAATACAACTTGTTCCTATACAATTGTTTTGTAATTTAATGTTTTTTTTTATACAACTTAGAATGGCAAACAAGACGTCGCCTATAGACATTTACAGTACCGTGGACATAACAGAGTATACTACTCCCATGCGTTGCCATTCCTGAGGACTCAGATGTTATTCCTCTGTACCCTGTAAATTCACGGCATATCCTACCCTTCAAACTGAAATACAGCAATGTAATGTATAATAGAAATAATAAACATAGTATAGTTCATAATAAAAGAAAAGAAGGATGTTCCCAATTCGTGTCTCTTTTGATATTTGTTGCCTCGTATCTTCGTCACTTGTAAACCAATTTGTTTTTTTTTTCTGCATGGATATACTTAAACATTGGTCCCATAGAAATAATATCAAATACGATTCAGTAGTTAAGTTTTTAAATAAAAAATAACTGGTTTGCCATAATTGAAGTTAGTTTTTATTTTGTGGAACATAATGTTGTTAAATTATCATGCAATAATACATTGTTAATGCGAGAAAATATTTCATTTATCGGTTTGTGGTTTATTACAAATCCATGTACATTTGTATTTTAAAACTATTATAAATATGAATATTTGCAAGTCAGTTACCAAATAAATAACTGCACAAAAAGTAAACTAGACATTTCTATTTTTTTTTTTTTTCTAGTATTTAAGTAGTCATCGGAGCGAGACGACGGAGCTTCTTTTTCCTTTTTTTAAACGTAAAATTGAATGTTTTGAAGTTATACAAGCTATTCTAAGTATTTAGTTTTTTTTTTTTATGATTCTTTAAATCTTTCATTATTGTTTTTTTTATGCAACACAGAATGGCAAACAAACTGACGATTCATCTAAAGAAAGTAGCTCAAAGATATCAGTCATTGTCTTTTTTTTTATACAACTTAGAATGGCAAACAAGCTGACGGCCCACCTGATGGAAAGTGGTAATCGTCGCCTATAGACATGAGCAGTACCATGGACATAACTGTTTCGCCCATGATACCCCCAATGCGTTGCCATTCCTGAGGACTCAGTTGTTATTCCTCTGTACCCAATAAATTCACGCCATATCCCACCCTTGAAACTGAAACACAGCCATGCAAACACAACTGCTTTACGGTTGAAACACGAATGGGACAAAGGTATAAAAAAAAAACTCTTTTTGATGAGTAGTAATAGTCAAGAGTTGGGGGAAAGAGAATATTAGTGATAGAATCTAACAGCTTTATTTTCAGCTCGACCTCCACGCAGTTCCCCCTGGAAACCTCGAGTTGTGTAAAGTACTCTCATTGTGAGTGAGACAGAGCACATAAGCAGATGTCGTTGGAACAAAGTCTACTTTTGGTAAAATTAGTATTGTTGCTTTTAATATAAACAAGTATTATGGTAAATGGAACAGTAGGATACAATAACCATAATTACGATTTATATGATCGTAGCGGTATTTGCGCACGCGCACGATCCTGACATTTATGCCCTGTGCCCGTCACTGGCTGACAGTAATTCACCTGCAATTTGCTCGTAATCCTGAGTTAAATTTACAGCTATAAACGGTAACTTCACTGTAGCCAGCATCCTATATGTCAATACAGGATGTCCAGATGTGTACTAAATTTCAGTAAAATTCGTTTAAGTGTAATTGAATAACAGACAAACAAATATCTACGCGTAAGACATTACGATTCTCAGGAATGGCAACACTTTAGGTGTATCACGGGTAACTTAGTGTATACATATATATAAAATATATTTATTTTTTATTTATGTAAGTTTATTTAATTTGTGGCCTTTACTCGCAGCTTTGCCCGTGTAACTGGTAGGGTATTATTTTGAAATAATCAATCAAAAATTTTGAAAAGAATTTAATTGTTTTTGAAAAATTTACAGATAATTGCGACGTTGCCACACTTAACGAGCAAAAGCTACGAATGCTCTTAAATTTATGATGGTTAAAAAATACGCCGGGGATTATTTGTGATCTGCGTAGGCCTTTAAAATGCCAAATGAAGCAATACAATGGAGTATTGCATTAAAAGGCGTATAATTAATGTGAAATTTTTAAACGCTCCATTGTTGCGTCCCATCATCGATCAATGGCGACCGCGTAGTGTTATGGGCCGCTACTATTAGTACTGTGTTGGCTAACACCTGTAACAATGCGAGCCTTATAGATTCAAACAGGTATAATATAATTTTTTATACCACTTAGAATGGCAAATAAGCAGACGGCCCATCTGATGGAAAGTGGTAACCCTTGCAGTACCATTGATATAACAGAGTATACTGTGTCGCCCATGATGATGCGTTGCCACTCCCGAAGACTAAGATGTTGTGTCCTGTAATTTCATTGCCATATACTAAGTTGCATAAAAAATACTAGTGATCCGGTCCGATTTTCCACGAAAAGATTGAATTTTCAAAAAAAAAAAAATAACCTATGGCTCTGGCTGATAATGCAAAGCTTTAAGTAGGTGAAAGAAATTTAAAATTGATTGATCAATAGTTTTTAAGTTTATCAATTGCAAACACATAAGCAATCAAATCTTTTCCCTTTTAAATATTAGTATAGTTAAAATAGATATGCTCCTTTCCACTAAAGGTTTGCTGGAAGAGAACTCTTACAGAGTTAAGCTCGCCTGCTGTACATCTTTATATATATATATATATATATATATATATATATATATATATATATATATATATATATATATATATATATATATATATATATATATATATATATATATATATATATATATGTAATTTTTTTGTGTACAATAAAGAATAAATAAATAAATAAATACGTATATAATGTCATATCCTTGCTATTTCTGAATATATTTCGGAAACTTTTATTATTACAGATTTATATTATTACTTACTAACTTGGCAAATGTCGTTTTACCTCCTACCGCTAGCTACTGGAACCACTTTTTCTTGTCAAGATAAAAACTATCCTATCTCTTAAATTGCATCGAATAATACTCATCACAAAATTTCATTAAAATTGGTTAAGTAATTACAGAGAAGCAAATTTTCCCTCTTTATAATATTAGTATAGAATCTAAGGTTATGAATGAATGAATGAGTATACTTTATTTGCATTATACAATATAGGAAATAAACAAGATAATTAACAAATATAACGATACAGTTGTATAAGTACAGTGAGGCGGTCTTATTGCTGAGAGCAATCTTTTCAAGACAACCTTAAGGTAATGGACCAATTGTTGTACAAGTAGGTATGATAGTGCTGTATAATTAAAAAAAAAAACCTTATCAAATAAATAAGGTTATGTACAAATAGTTGTTTCTTAGCGATCAATCATGATTAGAATGATAGAAATAATGAACAAATAATAACAAAGTTAAGTTCTAACAAGGAAGAATAAACAAAAGAAAAATCTTTAACACTGCTTTATACATTTCAATGATATCTAAGGCAATTATTTACACATTTATTATTATTAAAATAACATATAAAAATAATTAGTTCTCGTTGAGTACTAAACTAAATATAATGAGTCACGAACTATAACGAAATATAAATAATGACAATTAATATGAATCTATATCCATTCGTACTATAAAATGTAACTAGGCAAGACTACCTATAATATATGTCACGTTAAAAGAACTATTTTTTTTTATACAACTTAGAATGGCAAACAAGCTGACGGCTCATCTGATGGAAAGTAGTAACCGTCGCCTATAGACATGACAATATACTGTTTAGCCCATGATACTCCCCATGCGTTGCCATTCCTCAGGGCTCAGGTGTTATTCCTCTGTACCAGACTTGAACTAGACAGATTGAGATGGAATTTTGGTGTGATGATAATTTAATAAGTGGTTGACATATCTTATTTCAATAAAACATCTTGTTTGATCTTATTTTAATCGACTTATAAAAGAAATATATTGTCAATGGGTTTAATTTTTGTTACTGTTACCATATTGCCAATTCAGAACAAATTTTCACATTTATTTTTTTGAAAACATAATTATTTTTTCGTTATATCTACTTACTTATGCATATTTTTAAAGATCGATTGATCCATTAAGGCGTCAAGACTTGTCTTCTCTCTCGTCTCTTTGATTATTTCGTTCTCTTCTTTATATGTCTTGTTTCTACAAACATACTTTAATGTTTACAAGCTGCCCATCCCTCGCTCTCCCTTTTAAAACATTAGTAAAGGTTTATTTCTGATGTAAGGAACAACATACAACTTTTGCCCTACGGAATCCGGCTAATAGAGGGCATCATTAATGGAGAATAAGTGTTGTATTGCTTCACACCTGTATGACCATACAAAATGCTGCATTTAGATTGTTATCAATGTGTATATGAGATGACGCGCTGGAACATTTGTTATGTTGTCTTGCCTAATATCATTGTGCAATTGACATGGGAGAACGGACAATAAAATGAATTTTAAATAGGTATTGAAAGTATATATTAGTAGTTAAATACTGTTTCGGCATAAAAAATGTTA